GGGGGTTGGAGCGACGAGGCAAGGAAAGCTCTTCGCAGAACACAGGCACTGAAAAAGGCTGGGGGCACGACACCAGTACTGGTACTGCGATCCTCAAAGAGTCTTGTTTTAGCTTGCACGAAACCAAGGACAAAGCTTGAGCATCAATCCAGGATGGGAACCCAGCGCCATTAAATAGTTTGAAGGAAAAGCCCGCAATCGATTGGGGGCTGTTGAAGTGATTTTCGATACAACAGCTTCCCAGTGCAACTCGGTTACAAACTTCGAAAGTGCGATATGTATCCAAACAAGATGAATTATTAGGCAGGGGTGTAATCAAGACCACCACCAACCTATCCGGGTGTGCAGGTACACCCTCTCTCCGGCATGACCCTAGGCATCAGAGAGAGAGAGACATTTGCTTATTCTTGATCGCATGAAGTGCTCCTGGCGGCCTTGGACACCGTTACCGACAGAGAAGCATAACCAGTGAACAAGAACGAAGTGCACAACAGGAGGCAATAGTAGTCAGGGAGACTATTCGGGAAATCAGAAGACGACCTGTAGGGCATCAGCTCCTAGCTCAAGGACCGAATGCGGCGAAGACATGCAGTAAGACTCTTGATAGTCAGAGAGATCTGTGGTACTTACAGGGTTCAAGCATGGAAGTCGAATTACATGAAGGATTAAGATGGACATGACATGGGCAGAACCAGGGTAATGCATAGGTAACCAGCAGGGGAGGGGGGGATTGAGGTCACAGAAAGTTGTTGAGTATAGAAGTTGGGGATCAGGATAGAAAGACACCTACCTACTTGCCTAGCCATGACTGCTTGCTACCTTTGATTAACCGGCCCTGAGATCGTGAGTGGGTTGAAATGCCAGGTAGCTAGTAGCTGTGTAAGAGACCTAACTTAGGGGTTTTTACCGCGGTACTCGGCACGCGATGCCTACCTTACTGCGCAACCTGCTGCAATTCATGATATCGATGTTTGTTGCTATAGTCACTCGCTTTCTTCCCTTCTGTCTCGCTTTCTTTCTCTTCCTTCCTATTTTTTTTCTTTTCTCATCCAATGCCAAATGTTGCAAGCTGTCGGGCGAGAATTCTCTCATCCTAGTCAGTCCTTCTTCCTCCCTTACTTTGCCAGTGCGAGGTCTGAAATCACGCCCGAGGTTAACCAAGGCAGGAGGGAGTGTATCTGACAGTTAGTGACTCTATCTCCAATAGCAAAATCCGAGAAGGTATCACCCCCGAATGAAAAAAGAGTACGAAGTAGTCGAGTATATAATATCCTAGGCTTTATTCCTTGCAGGGTCAGTTGTATTTCCGCTTTCTATGCTCAGCGTCGGGCCTAAGACGCAGAGTACCATGTTGATAACCTTGTACTGCCCGAGCAAATAGGATGCGTAATGTTTCCATCTAGGCTCCGGGATATATCGTACTCCATAGCTAACTCGACTTTTACAGGTTGCTTCCCTATGCTATCCCTGGCGCCTCAAGTGAATGATGCCGAAGTGATCAGAGATCATGCCGGGCGGTTGGTAGCTTGGATCGAGAGGTAACAGAGGCCATACGTCCCCAACTGGGAAGTGGTGCCTGATTCACCCGAAAGGGCTTTTGTCGCGTTACGCTGGACAAAAGCTTCTCGCGTTACGTGTTCTTCCAACTCCAATGCCAACGTCCCAGCCCCTGCCACCAGGAGGCTCCTGTAGTACTTCAGCTGTATGCTACAACCGACTTGAAAATGTATTGTAGGAATCTATGAGAGTTCTTGCTCACGGCAGCGCAAAAGCAAGCGGCTTTGGGTATTTTAGGCCATCAGAAGCTCCCAGATGAACTAGTCGATTTCCAAATAGCCACAGTTAAGAGCCACGAGCCGCGATGGCCGAGAGCGAGATGAGACGATTCTTTTCATGCAGGTAGCCGGGCTACTGCATCGAACCTCAGGGTGACTATAGGACTGGACCCATGAACAGGGTTCCGCCTTATTTTGTTCTCCCGCCTTATCCCTCATAATTCTTCTGCCCTTCTCCCTGACCTTCCTTACTAATCGGGTCTCCCACCGTCTACCTGTTGTCCCTAGCCCCAGGGGCAGAGTTTTGCTACTTAATTTGGGATTCAGGGTACTGTATCAGACAGTGTATGATCCAGGTTATGATGAGGAGCTGACTTGTTGTACATGCAAAGCCCTGTGCTATTGGGGCTTGCTGGCAGTTCGTAGCCAATAGCCCTCAGATCGAGCCGCCACGCCACAAGAGTCGTCCATCTTCCATGCTACCGGGGAGAGTTATGTTTGTCTCCTCAGGACTGAGGGAGGCGTGGCCATCGTGGATAACAAATCGAGCGATGCCCTCTAATTGTAGGCACGTTTACAGCATAACTGCTTACACCTATAATAATCTACGCTATCATTATCACTATGTAATGAGTAATCGTGGCTGTGATGTGATCTAGCATTCGTCACCGTACTCTGTTGACCACAGCAACCTTTAATAATTCTTTACTTCTATCCGTGATCGGGGTTTACGGCTACTTAAGCAGGCACAGTAATATACAGTACACCTTGGTTTGTATTTTATGTGCTATCACGCCTTTCCATAGTGGAAAGATCAGAGAAGGGCAGCTGATACGAGGGAGTGCACGGCAGGGCGATCAATGGTGGATTATATACCTCTTGAACCTGGCAAACAAACTCATGCAGCTATCGGAGAGGCAGCCAAAGTGTTGGCCGCAATCAGGGCGAAGGCATAAGGTGTTTGGTGAAAAGTGTATAACTACAGCGTAGATAATATATACAGCATATCATATCTCGCTGCACAAGTATAATACCTACGATTACTCAAGCAGCAGGAGTAGATCTGTGTACTGTAACGTAATCGGTAAGCGAGTGGGCCGGGCAAGCGAGTGGGCTTCCTGTGTATTACATATAAAAGAGCATATTTTGAATACTTATAATTCCACCAAGTTAATATAAACTTAATAAAAGTAATAGATTAGTCTTCTATACAGATATTTTATACAGATACTAGTATTTTATCTATTTTAAAGCTTTATTTACAAAGATGATATAAATTACACTGTATTTTTGAAGTATTGTGGAAAAACTGGTATTAAATAGCTTATAGCTAATTAAATCTGATAAGATCTTGACTATAGATTGATAATACTATGTTTTCTTATATATATAATATCTAACTATTTAAAATAGTAGTTGTTAAGCTATAGAAGTTTAAAAATATACTCTTTTATATGTAATACACAGGAAGCCCACTCGCTTGCCCGGCCCACTTGCTTACCGTTTACGTTAACTAATGTAATCGGTAAGCGAGTCGGCCATGTAAGCCAGTCGGCTATTTATATATTATATATAGAAAGCTGATTTTAATCTTTAAATAGTTTTATAATCTTAGAATATATACTTTAGAAAGTCTGTGATATATAATCTAAGAACTTAGTTAATATAATAAATTAGTTTATTTTCTTCTGAAATCTATTATTTACCAGTAGTAATTTTTTAACAGAGTATAGTTTCTGTAAGATATATAAATAGTATATATTAAAATTAATAAAATAATTAAAACTTTTTATTCTGTATATAGTAAGATTATATATATATAACTTTTAATATTCAAATTTAAAAAGATTTAATAGAAATTAGTGAAGATAATATAATTTGAAAATCAGCTATTTTATATGTAATATATAGGTAGCCGACTGGCTTACACGGCCGACTCGCTTACCAAATACATTATCAGTGTTGAGTAACCCATCTGAGATGAGCCGGTAGTTTTACAGGGCGGTCGAGCCATTAGTTGACTTACGTCTTACCTGCGTTGGACAACAGGCAGCCCGGCTTATTGGCACGGGACATGTTAACTCTGCTCCTCGGTTCAGAGCCTTGTCGCATATAGGCAAACATCCTAGAGTGTACAGTGCATACATAATCATGGATAGCAGTGGCATTCATCAACAAGAGCAATTTTCCACCGCACTAGGGACCGCACGCCACCCGGGCGTGCCTAATGTTTACGGAGTGACCATAACCATCGTATTGAGAGACAGAACAATGAAGTTGAAGTAGAACAAGATTATGGAGTGGTGCTTTGGCTCACAGGACATTGAGAAAGGTTGCTGCAAGGGCGTACCTACCTACTCCTTAGAAAGCAATATGACCTAGCCCTGGGGCCCCGGGCTGCGGCCTCCCTCCCCCCCAAATCCCCCGGAGTTAAGATCCAGGTCTTCATTACGATTTTCAGAATTTGTGTAGAATCCAGATAAGCCACTCAAAAACGTATGTTTATAGATCAACCATCTCAACATGATGTACGGTATTCCCTAACCACCGAAAGCCCCATGCTGATATATCCCACCTGACGTAACATTGTATGACCAACTGAGATTATGAAGATTTGCTTTATCCAGCCGGTACCTAAAGTTCCGCATACCCTCAAGAGTGCAGAATGTCTCGGATTCATCAGACTTTGTATGGATGATGGATGTCTGCTTAGCTAGGTGAATGTAAGTACAGTATTCGTCAATCCATCAAGGACAAAAAATTACACATTTTCTTCATAACGTCGTATAAATGAGCATGAATATGGCATTATAGGGCCTTATGCGACGGGCACGCTGTGGACACAGATTTTGATCACGTGGCAGCAGAATTGAGTCGCACCGCTGCAGATGTGGTATCTCGATCTACCGGCCTACCCTTGGCCGCAACCGCGGAAATAGCCTCTCATATATGGTGAACGTCCGGGGTATTGACAGTGCCGTTAAAGCGTACCAGATCTCGGATAGCCCATCTCCAGCCATCTCCGAGCTTTGCACAATCAAGACTCGTCCATTTTTCCACCTTGCGCCTCCATTTCTCTTCCTCAGCGCGCTGTCTCCTGATGAACTCGGGCCCAACATCAAACTCCTCCGTCATGGGCCATTCGTCTGAGGAGTCGCCGTAGCTTCGGTCGTCTCCGCTTGCTGCAAGGCAAAGGTCCTCATGATTAGTTGATGATCGCCCACCTATCATGCCAGAGCTTTCTTTCAAGTCATCGAGACCAGCAAAGACATCATCTTCGTCCTGAACAGCTACCAATCCATCCTGCCCAGGCTGCGACAGCGCCAGTTTCAGCCAGCACATACGTCGCGGGTCAAATACCATCCCGCCAACAACCTGCACATTCTGCATGGCTCCGATATTTGTGATGAGAGCGGGTGTTGGCTTTGGAGATTTTGGTGCACTTGTCTCAAAGGCACGAACAGAGCTCTCATTCCCCTCCCAAGAGAAGGATTTCGGATTGTATTGCATACCATTAATCGCTGGAGTGTAAAATCATTAGCGACGGTTTTCTCACTTGCCGCGCGGGAAAGCCTGACTTACACTTGGCCTCCTGTACACCGGTGCCCAGTGGCTTAATTAGATGGGGCCTAGAAACATGTAGCGCAGTAGCTTTACCCTTCTTGCCTCTGCTAGCAACCGAGCTGGAAGGCATCCGGGAGATATTGGAGGTTCTAGCGTTCGAGCCAAGAGGAGGAAGTGGATGGCTCTCGCGAAGTCTGGAATTAGATGACAAAGAGGCTATGCGCTGTTCCCTCGCATTTCTTGATGCATTAGTGTCTCGTGCAAATCTGGGGGTATTATCGAAGTTGACAGATACGCCCAAGTTACTGAAGGTTGACCGGGAGATTGCGTCTGCTTTGGGAGAAACAGTCGGGTTGCGACCCAGCTTATTTCTGAATGATCGTGGGACACCCCGTCCGGAGGGATGCTTCACAAATTTACTTTCCGCAGAGGTAGATGTAGGCAAATCATCGAACAGAGCCAATTCCGATCCATCTCCAAAATTCCGCCGTCGAGTTGGCCGAGTGAGTGTCCGTTTAGTAACAGTGGTCAAGGCCTCTGGACTAGATTCAGAATGACTCCTAAACATGTCGTGACAATTTCGCGAGGATCGAGCGGCGTAGCTTGTAAAGAAGGAATCGTTCGAACTGTCAAAATTATTTCGACGATTTTGACGGTGGTTTTTAAGGCTTGCATGGTGCGACTGCTTTTCTGACGCTCCAGCGGGGATGAATGGCACTTGTGCTTTTCGCATGAGCTGTTTCACGTCGTGCCCCAAGCGATCTACTGGGGTTTTAGGACGGTGCATAGATTTGGACAATGAACTTGAGACATCCGAGTAGGTGGAAAGACATTGACCCAAGGGCGACGTGGCGCTGTGCTGTGCATCACGCATTGTTGGCATTGAACGCTTCGAGGCCAGATACCTGCCGAAAGGGACACCGTCGCTTGCAAAAGGTTCCTTGTTCATTCGACTTGTGTGCCGTCGATGAGACGTCGAAGATTGCTGAACAGAAGGGAGGCTGGACACAGAATATTGTGCTGAATGGTTCCCAACTAGGGTCTGTAATTCTCTGAACTGTGAAAGAGGCGCACCACTCTCGGAGACAGTCTCTAAATGTGTCGAGTGTGGGCGATCGGGACCGGATAGACGCGGAATCCGAGATTTAGGAGATGTTGTCATGTTAGTGAACGTGAGAGTCGTGGTGGAGTGTCGCACAGGACTTCGAGAGTTTTCGGGTTTGCACTTGATATTCGGGTTTATCGAAAGCCTTTGAGGATCAAATAGTCCGTCCTCAATCTCAAGTCCGGAAAAAAAATCGTCACTCTTGTTTGAAGCTTGACTGACACAAGGAGGCTTTGCGCAAGCCAGGTCCTGATCTACAGGCCCTCCCCGTTTTTTGAAATAAGATTCTAAGTCTAAAGGCTCTTCAGGAATAACGAGACCATCGAGGCCGTCGTCTTCACTTTCAGCCGTGAGACAGCTAGAAGCGCTCGGGCTCACAACAGACATAATTGACGGGTTCGATCGATGCTCGCTAGTGATCCCACCAAACCGGACCCCAATACTGCCTTCGGACCAATCTAACTCGATTTCTTCCGTAGAAGGGCTCAGAGGCCCTGCACTGGCCTTGCGAGGAGTAAGTCGCAACGGTAGATCACCGTTTGGCAATTCAAAGTCTTGCTCGAAATCGTCCCCTGAACAGTAGTCCTTATGAAGCATGAAATTATTGAAAAGCGAGGGCCTGCCCGGCGAACGAGGTCTCGCAACTTTGATTGTAGGGACATCATGAGCGTCGTCCGTAACGTCGTCCATTCGGGGGATTTCCGGGATTGACAAGGCCGGTTGTAGTCGCGTTGAGATGTCATTATCCCATGTAGCTAACGCCGATGTTTTGATAGGACTCACTGCAGCGGAGCTGACTTGTCGTAGCGCCTCAGGAAAAGACGTATCCAAAGGCCCTCTCAACTGCAGTATTCCGTCGGGACCAGGAAAATCCACGTCATCAGCCCAATCGTCGACCGTGTTTGTGTTTGTTTTCCTCCGCCCAAGGCGTTTGATGGTACCACCAACAAGGGCTGATTTAGGGACATTTATAGGCAGAGGTATTCCGGCATTTTTGGCAGAGGCAACAGCCTCTTCATTGATCACCTCATCATTGTCCAGCAACTGGACTTGCCAGTCCTCATCGCCACCGCCGTTTGATTCCAAATCAGAGCGTGCAGAGCGACGAGAAGATATGGAGTCCCGATGCGCTGAATGATGGGCCGATGAGTTTGTCACAGAGGTCGCACTTGATGCCGCGCGCAGCTGGAATCCCTCATAGCATTGCAGGTCTTCATCGTCATCCCAACACTCGATCGATTCCTCGTCGCCACTTCGTAATTCGAGGGTCAAAGCAGCCATGTTCCGCGTAAAAGACCATCTGCGAGAATTAACACAATGTCAAGGGTGTTTTTAAAGATTCGATGACAGGCTCAGGGCACTCCAGCGCTGACACGAAATTGAAGGAAGCGAGTCATCCCGCGCGGGGGAGGACCAGTCGATCGGCAGATGCTCCTATACGCAGCGTCAATAGCAGAAACGAAATACCCTTTAGCCCAGCCTGTGATTGCTCGTGTAGGTCAATGATGAAGTGGCATGGAAATGAGATGGGGGACAGGAGGGTTATAATCAAAACGGTGAGATATGCTTGGAGCTGATATTGAACATATAGGATTTGCAGTCTTAGCAGCCGTCAAGTTGACATGTTTGCACAAGATTGAAAAGATAGGACTCTGTGGGCGAGTCCAGTATACGAGATCCACGAAACCTTACGTAGCACTCCTAGCCGCGCAAGGTAGTAGGCGCGTGATAGTGGTGGTGGTAATGGTGGTAATGGTGGTGGTAATGGTGGTGGTGGAGGCGACGGCGGCTGGACGGATTCCGCTTGGGTAATGTGCAGCACCTTATCTGAAGTAAGGGTAGGGTATAAAGAACTTGAAGGCTAGAAACCATGCACCCACCCACTGAGAACTATGCGCTGAACATTATCCACGTGAAATAGGGGCAAGGCGGCAATCACAAATCAGATATTAACGAGCATCGCTAATCTCCTTAGAATCTCGTTTGGTAAAAATTTCCGCCGGACACCCGTAATGGGCGGTGATAGCCATCAAGTTCATGACCATTGAAGTATCTATTGCTCGGTATGGTTTTAATAGCGCAGAGTGCGTAAAGTGAGTCAATTGCCAATCAAGCAAACAAGTTACTTTTGGACGTCTTCTCACCCCTGTTGTTGATGGATGTTGATGGATTTAAGGGACGAAGTCGACCGGTATGAATAGATCTTTTGATGGCTACTACCGGGACTTGAATATACTCGGTTCGGTTCTTTACGATTGTTGTTTTTAGCCACTGCCATCGATCTATCGCCTCTATCTCAGCTCGCACCGCTTCCTATACAGAAATGATCTGAGGTTCTTTAGCAAATGATACTTACAGCTTGAGATGAAACCGGCAGATTTGAAATTGCTAATTAAGGCTTCACTGACAATCGTATATGACCTTACTGAGTACGTCAGTGGTAGAGTTGCTAGTACGAGAACATATACGGAGTACTCTGTATGTATAGATAATAAGCGCGCAGTCTGTAGTGTTTCGATGGGGTGCGGGAGTCTGTGCGGAGGACGGCAGAGCAGCCGAAGAGAGCAGGCGGTAAGGTTGTCATTGCCTACATCCCCCAACAAGATATAACACCTAATTAAGTTTAACCTTACTAGCTAGTGTTAAGATAGTTACCTAGTTAATTAAGTTAACTAAGTTACGGAACATGACTAAGTGAAATACATCAAATCACTGGGAGTCTATTCTGACGGAGTCAAGAGTGTTGCCTATAATGCTGAGTAAGTGAACTTAGCTAACTATCGCTCCTCATGATTCAATACGGGACATATCAAAGTGTGCCCAGCAAAGACCCGTCAAACGGACTGAAGATATCTTATCCTATATTTCACCGGCAAGCAGCAAGCTGTGTCTTGTGATCTTCCCTCTGGACATCCAATCTGTAGACCAGTATGTCTATCAATAACAGTGACCTATCCCCGCGGATTCTGCGCTTTCCGAGATCCGATGAACCCAAAGCGTGCGTACTGCTGCACGTTACCCGTCGTGGTCCTTCCGCACTAGATCTGGATCTTGTTGGGACAGAAGGAGAGTGCCCGTTCACTGGGGCAGGTATGTTGAGTGCTATCCTCCAAGCGAAGGGAAACCTGCCTCTTCTATCAGTCGCATCATATGCTAATGCTATTCGCTGATAGTACGGCAGTCTCACCTCAACTCGTATCGCTCAAAGAATTATCAAGGTACCGAAGACGACTGGACTCGAATCATTCTCCATGTGCTTGGACAAGCAGAACAGTGTGGGAAGGAGCAGGATTTGCTTGCAGGGCTAGAAGCGTTAGCCATCATAAGTGGCTCCGAAATCCAGGATAAAGAGATAAAAATCGTGATACGGAAGAGAGTACAAACAATAACTGTATGTTCAAGTCTAATCCCGCCTCCACTAAGTGCCCCCCTAACGTAACCAAGCAAAAATTCGGGACTTTAGTATTGAAGCAAAACGACGAACAGACCATCCACCTCTATGACTGGACTTCTACTTCGGCAGAGAGAGCTGGTTTCCTCGAAAGACGTTGTTCAGGCCTCCTGGATCGCTACCGCGCTGCTGAACAGACCATCAAAGATCTCGATGCCCAGCTTAACGAGCTCATAGGCGCCAAGACTCGGCACGAAGAACTGCTAATGAACAACTTGATGCAGCTTCTCAATGAGAAAAAGTTGAAAATCCGCAACCAACAGCGCGTAATAGCCACCACGGAGGTTGCTCCAGAGGAAGGTAGGTGCTAAACGCGATATGCTACATATTTCTAAGCTGACAAATGAGCAACTAATAGAGTTCCGAACTCAAGAAACACAACCGGGCGGATCTAGGCAAACTACTGCTGCTAAGAGGCGAGCGAATGGTTCAGCTTCGACACCGTCCTATGAGGTGTGGGGAAGTGGTACCGGCTTCGAAGATTCGGAAGATGACCGGGCTAAGCGCCACGATAGCTCTAAAGCGGTGTCAGGCACAAATTCAGGCACAGACAATGAGCCGCCCTTGATGCACCGGCCTTCAGGGGAAGAAGATGAGTCCACTACTGACGAAGACATGCCACCCCTGCCAAGTCACGATCCTCGGATAAGCAACTCTGGTCCACAACAAACTCATTCGCAGTCCATAAGCAAAAAACAATTGACTCCACAGCGAAGAGAGCTTCCCTTTCCGAGGACGAGGGGAAGTGCGACAGCTACTGTACGAATAGATCGACATGAAAACAAAGAAGCCAAGGACAACATTGGGGAAACGGATGATGATGAATTATGATATTAACCTAACAGCCAAAGCTCCAGACCATTTAAGGCAATAGAAATGTGGTTCTTGATTGGTACTTGCTTTCTGCATGATCCTTTGGAGAAATCCAAGCGTAGCAGATCTTAACTAATTATTGTGCAATGTAGACACACATTTGACAGACAATATCCCAGCGTTGAGATAAGAATATTCCGGGCTTGCCGTACCTCCAGCTATCATTCAGATTTTCTTATGTACAACTTGACCACTGCTGGTGTGGTTTGAGACTTATCTTGGCGTGATTGGGAGCTTCAAGACAACGCGAAACGAAAGCACAGTACTCAACTATAATAACATTGGACTAGGGCAAAAGCAATAAGGAAACAAGTTGTTTAGGTGTTACAACGACAACGCCTAGACCACCAGACAATAAGTAGAAATCGGAGTAATAGTGAGAAACCTGACATCTAGCCGTACAAAGCCTTCGGGGACATCTCCCCAGCAGCCATGAAGTTTGTCTCCGGATTTCCGGTAGCCTTAGCGGCAGAGCAGCGAGCCATAGTCGGGGAACTGAGATAGAGTTAGACCACAAACAGCAATTTACCTCAAGCAATAAGCATCAGGGGTGGGGGGGCATGTTAAGCACGTACCTCCGGGAAATTGAGTCAGTAAAATAGAAATCATTGATGACTTTCTTGAAAGGCGTATTAGTGGATTGAGTGCCCTTGTTCTGATCAACTAGTTGGACCTTGCTCAATGAGCTCAACGATGTAGGTTCAACCACGTCATATCGGCGCATGACAGGGCTGATCTCTTCCATACGGTCGCGCAGGGCCTCAATATCATCGTAAGGAAGAGGTATGTTAAGGAATTCACTGGCAGCACGTATGATCTTCCAGTCATCGCGGGCAGCCCCAGGCAAAGAAGTTGCAGCTCGAGTAACTTGGACACGACCCTCTGTGTTGATGTAGGTCCCTGACTTCTCAGTGTACGCTGCGCCGGGTAGAACAACATCCGCAAGCTGAGCGCCCCTATCACCATGATGCCCTTGGTAAATGACAAAGGCGTCACTAGGGATTTCGCTCTGGGCGACTTCATCAGCACCAAGAAGCCAAACCATCTTGGGCTTGCTCTGGGTAATTTCTAGAGATGGCGTAGTGAAGCCCACTTCATAGGCAGCTGCACGGGATGCTGCGCGCTGGAGAACGTTGTATCCTTGCCATTCCGAAGTAATGAAGTTGTTAGCGTGTTTCTCTACGAAATTGCCAATGGACTCGAAAATCACTTTGGCATCCGGGTGTTCGGCCGCAGCACTGCCAACGATAATCATAGGTCTTTTGGCCATAGAAAGCTTCTCTCCGAATTTTCCAGAAAGAGCAGCTTTCAAAGCGGAAACGTCTGCCCCAAGGTGCTCGAATTCGAAAGTACTTTCGAATTCCTCGCCAACAAGCCCAATTTCAAGATCTGAGCGAAGATATTGCTTGCGAATACGCGCATTGAGAACGGAAGCTTCATGGCGAGGGTTCGTGGCGACCAAAAGGATTGCATCGGCCTCCTCAATTCCATAGATCTTGGAGTTGAAAAGATAGTTGGAGCGAACATCAACACCGTGCGCAACCGGGGAACTGCCACCTGGCTGATCCAAAGCAAGGTTGTCGGACCCAAGCTTATTGGCCAGATCCTTCATGGCCACTAAGGTTTCGGCATCGACAAGGTGCCCGGCAACAGCCTTGAACTCATTTTCCGTCACATGAAGTCGCTGATGGGCTGATGAAATCTCGGACAAAGCTTGCTCCCAAGTCGCGGGAACAAATTTCCCTTCCCGACGAATTAGGGGCGTTGTGAGTCTTTGAGTCTTAAGGCCATCACAAGCAAACCGAGATTTGTCGTTGATCCATTCCTCGTTGATATCATCGTTCAGCCTCGGAAGTATCCGCATCACCTCCATGCCTCTAGTGTCTATTCTTATGTTCGACCCCAAAGCGTCATGCACGTCAATAGACTCAGTGTGCTTCAATTCCCAGGGGCGAGCACGAAAAGCGTAAGGCTTGGAGGTAAGAGCTCCAACTGGACAAAGATCGATGATATTGCCAGAAAGCTCGGAGTCGAGGTTCTTCTCCAAGTATGTACCGATTTGCATGTCGTTTCCTCTGCCGGTGGTGCCGAGTTCGGG